GGGGGGTGTTGTTGAACAAACCTGGACACTTTTAAGTTGTTAAAAGCAATTTACAAAGAAAACAAGACTCAACCAACCCATTCTTTTAGTTGGTTAAGTAATGAAGATGTTTTAAGGATTCCCCCCAGTGGTGCTGTGAATTCGGTGTTGGACAGCTAACTCTAAGATCAGCACTTCAAACCGACTAGCTGCTCCGTAAGAGGAAAATGAGGCTGTCTGCTCCTGTAAGGATTCACAGTATTGGAAACCCTACACAGGGTCACTATGATCAGAAGTGACTAGACAGCACTGAGTCTGGTTTACGGTGTGGCTACTGTGGCATTTAGAAACCCCCAGGATGCAATGTTTAGATCTTTGGAATTATCCACTGTTAATACATGCAAAATTCTAACTATTTAGTTCACCTTTGAGACCAGGCCTACCTTACATGTAGGAGCTGAAAGAGACTGACATAAAAGGGATGGTGGTTAGACTGGTACCTTTACAAATAAAAAGAAGGGAGAGGAGTTTAAAGTAAGTATTTTGAGATTACCTTCGATGGCAATACGTTTTTTGGGCCAATCCTTTGATTCACGAGACACAGGTTCTTTGACACGTATACTTATCACCAAATCAGCCAAATTAAATTCTAAAGCATAGAATCGAAGCAGTTCCACCCAGAGTTGCCCAACTGGTACTGAAAGTTGATGCTTTAACTCAAATATTAATGGTACCTTTTAATAACAAAAAAAACATAAACATACAGGTTAGCTCAAGGCTAGTACATTTTGAAAAACCAAAGATGAGTCAAGTATCAAATTTACAAAGTTGAAAAACCTCAAAAAAATTCTAGGTTTAATTTCGCTTGCTAGTATTGCTAGTAGTGAAGCATAGTATTGCTTCACTGCGCCTTGGGGATTACAGTATGTTTAAACAGGCATTATCTTAGACATAGAATTATCAGAGGTAGCTTTTATTTAGCCAGAGAACTCACTGTGAAATAGTAATAACGAGGAGGAGGACTGTGTGTGGGCTGCTGTGACTCTCAACACTGAGCTTTTCCCATTACTGCTGCTGGAGGGCACCTCTGAACAGTTACAGACACACAGAAATGGACAGCAGCTACAGGTGCAGAGGAAAAGGGAAGCCCTGGTAAGCTACACAAACACAATGAATCTGCTAATGGCCATTCATTTTAAAACTAACTGACATCACAAATTGATCCTGGTTATAATGAATGGGACTAGTTTAGTCATCTCGTATAGTCCTATTATAGCCATAAATCTCAAACAAGAACATACTATAATGTAATAGGTTAGAAAGTATACAGGACTCAGAATAGAAAAAAAAAGGTGTGTGGGTGTGTGCGTGTGGGGGTCCCAAATAGTGACTCTTGTCACTTTACAGTGACTTAGCTTCTTCATTTGTATAAGTTGGCATTACAGGCACAGTAGCTAAGAGAACTGGCTTCAGAATAGACAAGCTTAGATTAGAAATCCAGCTAGTTGTATATGATCCTAGTCAGAGTACATAGCCTAAGGCTTGGTTTCCTAATCTGAAAATTATGGGTAATAGAACCCACCTCATAGAGTTGTTGGGAGGACTTAATGACACAGCACCTGCAAAGTGCTTAGCACAGTGCCTGGTCATCATTATCATTATCATTATCTGCAGAGTAGGGCTGATACCACTCAGAAACAAGAAAAAGCATTGGTAGACTTGGTCTTGGTTGTTTTCTCACTTAGGCTTAGTCTTTTCTCACACACAAAACCCACATGTCCTGGAAAGAGGATGTCAGAACGGTGAGATGCTCTTGTAAACTGCCTTGTTTACAAGGAGAGGGGACTGGAGCCCGTCCAGGTCAGACAGCTTGTCTGAAGGCCACACCCTGTGATCGCCACAGTGGCTACCTCTATCTTATCAACTTCTCCAAACAGCAGAAAACAGAAACCAATAGCTTTGCTTTCACCTTATTCCTATAATTTCTCCCAAAATATGCAAATTGTTTGCAATCTCACTTCATAACTTGACACTTCAAAACTAGGAGTATGGTGTTGCATTAATTATTAAAAACCAAGCCCAAAGTTTTCTTCAAATAAGACAGATTCACTGATGGATTTAGAAAGCAGCACAGATTGAAAACGGAAGTTGTTCAGGTCCCAAGTACTACAGAGGAAGTAACAAAAAAAGTCTCTAGAAGCAGAAAGTCCTATTTAATCCACACACCTTTCAGAATGCCTAACGAGCTTAAGTATCTCAATGAAGCACACTAACACATAAAAAGAAATTAAAGACCCTGGTAATATCGCAAACTACTGGTACTTGAATGTTCTATTTTTAGTTAAGTAGAGAACACTTTCTTTGAACAACATGACACGTAAGCACTAACATTTACTAAGTGCTTATCATACCCTGGGCACTGAGTTAAGCATTGCACAAATCAGTGACCCTATGAGAAGGTACTGATGTTATCTCCATTTATAGTTGAGGAAACTGGAGCACAGAGAGGTTAAGTAAGCTGTCCAAGGACAAGCTAGGAAATGCGAGTGCTGGGATACAAACACTTGTATTCTGCCTCTGCACTTGTATTCTGCCTCTGCACTTGTATCCACGATTCAACCTCAAAGCAAAAACCAGATAAAAGTGTTGCTGTTCTGGTGGTTACAGGGGTAGGGTGGCACCACCTCCCTCCTCTCCCCCATCTTCAAGGGTTCTTGTATAACACAATTTTTTTAAAAAATAGGATTTACCATAATCTCCTTGTAGGCATCAGTAAACTATGGACTGGAGGAGTGACAAAACTTAGTTTGTGGGCAGTGTGTTTGTAAATCCTAGTCTCCTGAGTATTTTCTAGCTATTATTGTCAATTTAGCCCAAAAGGCGTGCCTAAGACATTGTTCACAAATTTGGGGTAGACTCCTATTCGTCTTACTAGTCTAATTACAAAGTTCAGGTTTTTATTTGAAATTCTACTGGTAATTCTTTTCTCATTCACAAATAAATTCCCCTTCCTCCTCCCCCCAAACCCATCCCCCGCCCCCAGGGTATAGATGAGGATAAGGTAAGGACAAGTATATTAAACCATCCTTAATGATTATTGAATCACATACTTTAACCTTGTGAATACAAACTTGCGGAGCCCTGGTGGTATAGTGGGTTACATGTTAAGCTATTAACTGCATGGTGAGCAGTTCAAAACCACTAACTGCTGTAAAGGATGAGGCTTTCTACTCCCATAAATGTTGATAATCTCAGAAACTCATGGGCATTTCTACCCTGTCCTATAGGATCACTATGAGTGAGAACTGACTTAATGACCATTGAGAGTTTGAGAGAACTTTGCAATTTGAGGTTAGTTAACTTTTCATATATTTAAACCTTATAGAGCCATCTGATTGAAGTTTTTTTTGAGGAAAGGGCTTATCTTTCAATTCATGCAGTAAGAACCATAGAAACATGTGTGGATTGAAATGACCTGAATTTTACCTTCTCTTACTACTTGTCTACTCAACAGTACACCAGGAAATAAAATTGCCAAGAAAACAAGCAAAGACAGCCACGCCACAATCAACATCTGAATGAGAGTCAGATATTAAGACCAGAGAAGAGGGTGTGCACACCTGTCCCCTTTTCAGGGCCATGTCTCTGGGCTCTCCAGTTGACTCTACTTTAGCTGGGTCTTTATCCCCTGTGGTGGATTCAGCATACTCCCACACCACAACATCTCTGGTGACATCTTTAAGGGAGAAGTTCCCTAGTTTATTTAATGAAAATTCTTCGATCTAGGAAAAAATAAAATACCAGAGCGTATTAATCTTGGAAAGAATCATCACTGAGAAGACAACATACTCAGTTCATTGAAAATACACAAGGTATAATGGATGGAATTCCTTTGTGACATCTCTAAAACTTCCTCCAGTAAAAAACAAGGCTGTACTTTGTAAAAGAGAGTGTAGCCTGGTGATATACTCCTTTAGTAAAGAGCCTTTAAAAAGCCATTGTGACCTTGGGGCTATGGTGATGGGTTCAGGAATAAAACTGTCTTAGCCCAAATCTCAGATCCTTCAAAGTACCAGTTGTGTGACTTTAGGTAAAGTTTTATTTGCGTTAGGCCTCACATTTGTGTAAAAACAGGTAACACTAACACCTCCTTCACAGGACTGTTGTGAAATTAAGAAATAAAGGACAGAGGGCATTCAGATAGATTCTGGCACATCATAAATGCTTAACTAATTAAGCAAAATTTACTAATGACGTTATTGAGACTGAAAATCGTAAAAACTAGAACCTCTGAAGCAGAAAATTCCTAATTCTGAATAGTTAATTCTGTTTAAAAAGGACATTTTGAAAGCATATGCTACAGGCTATTTATAGATATTAATACAAAAGAAAATGGTTTGGAGTTCAGAGGCCAGGGGGTGGGGGGAAAAGTTGCACAGGTTTCTTTATTGTACACCAGGACTTTTATCACAGCCTTTGAAAAGATTCATTGAGGAGCATCTGTGCCATCCTATTTTCTAAATTTATTTCCATAAAAATAGGGCTTCATATTACTCCTCTACTTTGCACATGCCCTGCTCATACTCTTACTCAAGACGGAATTAAAGTCCTTTGTACAGCTTCAAAAGACTGAGTGTCACCTGGCCCCTCCCATCTGCTCATTCAGGGCTGACATTTGCTATTCTCTGCTTGGAATGTAGCCCTGATCATGCCGTGGTTATGTGTTGGACTGCAATCCTCATGATCAGCAGTTTGAAGCCACCAGCAGCTCCATGGGAAAAACACTGGGCTCTCTACTTTTGTAAACTGTTAAGAGTCTCAACACCCAAAAGGGGTCACTGTGAGTCAGCATGACTCGATGGCAGCGAGAATCTGCTTAGAATGCACTTCTCTCAAATAATCAGATGTCACTTATTTGAAGCTCTGCTCAAATGACTCTCTAAATAGCACCCCCCCCTTCTAATTTTTTTCTTTCTTCCTTTCTTAGATTTACTTTTCCTCAGAGAAATGACCACCACTTGATGGGAACGTACTTCTACTTCTCTATTACTAATGGATCTCTATGTGGTTTATCCTACATTAGTCTTTATTCTCATGGTCTGCACATAAAAGATCCCTGCTTCATTCTCAGTCCATTAAGTATTAAGAAAGAAAAAAAATCCCCGATGGCTGGATTTTTTTTGGCATGCACTCATAATTAAGAACCATTGATCTGGAACATACATTTTCGTTGAATGAGAGAAACCCGGGTACAGAAAGAAAAGGTGTTAGATACACAATATGCCAAAGAACACTGTTCATCATGTAGGTCTTTCTATGAGGTATATATGTTAGATTATATTTAAAATTGAAATAGAAAATGAGGGTTCTCAGAGATTGAACATAATTTTGACTCTTTGGAGGCTGCTTCTCCTTATATCTTATTATTGTGAACAAACAGCTAACAGTTGAACTTTAATTTATCCAGATAAAAGGAGGGATGTTTAATTCATCTTAAAGATAATCAACCCAATAAAATGATTAAAAATAAATATACAAATGACCGTTGACCCCCTCCCCACCAAAAGATAATCAAATCCATTGCCACTGACTTGATTCTATTTCAGAAGCAACCCCACAGGACAGAGCAGAACCACCCCATTGCATTTTTAAGGCTATCACCTTTAGGGAAGCAGACACCACATCTTTCTCTTGAGGAGCCACAGGGGGGTTTTAACTGCTGACCTTTTGGTTAGCACTGAGTGCTTAACCATTATATCACCAGGCTCCTCTTAGACCCAATACTAAATATTATTCTGGAGGTGACTGTTAATGCTCTGGAGCTGTGGTTAACGTAGGGATCTCAGTGTTTATATTGTCTTTTATTTTCTTGGGTATAACGAATAAGGAGAAATAAAACATTGGAAATAGAAAGTTACAGTGAACTACATGCTTCCTGCAGGTTGGAGAGAATATGCACATTCAAGCTTCCAACTAGAAAACCCACAAAGTGTATCAAACGATATATTTAACAAAGGTTCACATTCTCTTATCTGACACCCTCAGGACCACAGTTGTTTCAAAAACCCTAGCAATACCAGGCAGCCTCTGATAAGCACATATTAATATTTCAGCAATGAAATGTAAGAATATTTTGCTTAGTAGGATAAGTGAATGCATGTTAGTTCTGGTTAGACTCTTTAGATTTAAAATTTATGGACCTGCAATAAAATCAATGAGATATATAAATAAAAAAAGCTTTATACCCATGATCCTAGGTAGACAGGCAAAAGAGGTTCTTTCCTCTGTTGAAGAAAGAAAATGGCCAATAGGGAAAACACATAAGGTGGCAAGCCACCTTCTTCGGGGCGATCTATACTGCATAGCTGCAGATGAGAGAAAACAATATAATTTTTATTTTTGGTACACCAATTTATCATGTATAAACTTTAGCCTAAAACTCTGTATTTTATTCCCACATACTACTCAATTTACAGTGACTCCTCAAAACAAAACAAAGCAGTACAAAACACTTCCTTACATTTTTATAACAGCCACATGACATGGTTCTATGGGACAGTTTCAATCTCAGATATTTAATCCTGTTACATGCACAAGTACATTCAACTTACTCGTGGAAGGCCCTAAGAGCTTTTTCTCTTCCAACAATTTTATTGGCAATTAGTTTACATATAATTCAATAGTTCGATCATTCAATCATATCAAGGAGAATCGTACAATCACCCCCACATCAATTTTAGAGTACCCCCCACAATGGTCCAATCGCCTGTAAAATGAGCTATGCAATCACAATCCATTCTAGTGTTCCCTCCCCCTCCCATGTTCATTATTTACTCCCGAAATCTCCCTTCCCTCCCTATCATCCACACCCCCACCCATGTATTCCCTAGATTCTCTTGTATCAGGTATTATCATTACACATTCACTACTCCTGTGCTTCATAACTGGGAAGCCCCACAGAAAACAATTTTTTAAAAGGCGCTAACATGGAAAGGATAAAAACATAATAGAAAAGCATACAAATAATGCATAAAAGCAACATTCAAAAAGAAAGAAATTTGTCATGGAACTTGCATGACATACCTGCAAGAGATACCTGCATCCAGAACAAATTCAGGTTGGGTCTATAGGGAGGTCAACTAGCCAACTATTGAGTTTGATCCAGCATAACATAATTATAATGGTCTCTTCCTGATAGTAAAGGTGTTCAAGACCCTTGTCTGTGGCTGGAGGAGCTCTGCCAATGGCTCAGTCTGACTAGATACTCCAAAGATGGGGTTTGGGCTCCCACTGTCCTCCATAGCCTTTTACAAATTGGGTGTTCATAATTTTAGCTGATTCTTTTCCCTTCTCCATTTTCAAATTTTGTAACTGTCATCTTTGGACCAAACAAGCTGGTGTGCTTCTTCTGTGTGGACTTAGTTAACTCCTTATAAAGATGACTGCTTGCTTGAATGCAAGACTTTAAACCCCAGACCCTATGCCGATTGATAGGCAGGTACCTACCATCTGCTTTCTTCACACTCTGCTGTAACACCTTTATTTTTAGCAATCATTTCACGAAGATGAGTATCAAACAGGGCCATGATGTAAGAACTGATTGTTGTCCTAAGATGGAGCTAGGATTTAGTGTGAGCCCCAAACCAACTCCTGGATCTATGCCTTTTTTTTTTGTTTAATTTCCTATAACTTGGGAGCCAACACATTCCATAGTTCAATCATGTCCCTATTTCATTTTTTGATAATCCCTGTCAGCCTATTCACTTGGCTGAGGCACATGGTAATGATGTCAACATGATGGTTCAATTCAAAGTACAAGCCCAGATCAGTGGAATGGTCCTTGCATCCTAACTACTTCTGGCTTCCATATATGTGCATATTCTGCAAACCAGGCAGTGGGAGAAAATGTGCACAGATAATCAGGACTAACAGAAATAACATAAAAGTATGGCCAACTTGGTGAGATAACATGAAGTAACTTTCAAAACATGGAATATTGTAAATCATCAGTTCACCAAATCAGTTCACCAGTGGGGCATCCTCTATTCATTCTGGACACAAAACAACTCACTGCCATTGACTAAAAGCATTGACCTACAGGGCAGAGTACAACTGCCCCAGTGGGTTTCTGAGACTAATACTCTGCAGGAGTAGAAAGCATCATCTTTTATCTGCAGAGCTGCTAGTAATTTCAAATAGTTCACCTTGCAGTTACCAGCCCAAAACACAAACCACTAAACCACACAAGTAACAAAAAGGATACATTGTTACTACTACATCTTAATCAGTCAAGCCAGTTCTGGTCTCTCTGAAAGGAACCTACAAAGAATCCCAATTTCATAATCATGATTTGATGATACACTTTAGGGAATGCTAAGTGGAATCCAACTGGGGTCCTCTACATTACATAAATGTAAGGAAGATCAGAGAAGAGTCTTTCACTTGTTGAAGAGTCTTCAGGTTTATTATTAGAAATGGTATGAGACACATATGCCTATGAAATAGGTCTCACCCCTAAGAAACAGGTCTCAGCCCTGGGATCTGGCCCCGAAATAGGATTTTTAAAAAGCACTATGGGCCATTCTTATCTTCTGAAAAATATTGCTACAGTGAAACAGAAGCACTGGCATTTCATTTCTTTAAACCTTAAAAGGTCTACTCTATTACTCAGATACCAAAATCCCAATGTCTACAAAATGCCAACGAACATTTACAGTTAATTGATTGAAAATCAAAGCATAGTGCTCATACATAGAACGTAAGCATGCATTTGAAGAACCCTAACTTACCTTTGCCCAGTACCTGAATGCAATCACCAAAGAAACCAGTTTTGGTTCTAGTTTTCCAAGGGCAGTTAAATGATTGGTTGTCAGACAAGCATTTTCATTTCCTGCACTCACTTTACAAAGAAGACCACTGTTGGGGGTGAGAGGAAGGAAGAGACAAAAGGGAAAAAGCATTACTCAGATATATTTTGCAGAACTAAAATTTTTTGTTTTTACATATTTCAGGTATTGGGTGGGTTGGGAAAATAAGGAAAATACTGTAAAATGTTTCAAATGAGAGAGTGATTAATCTATGCAACAATGCAAGAGTGTTTTCCTGAGAGGAGGAGGAATCTGTCTAATAAAGAATCATTACAGCCTCCAAGCCACCCATTTAGTGTTGATGGCAAGGCTTCCAGATGGAGGGAGAGATACAAGGTGGAAGCCACACTGTTACTCAGCACGGGCACACATGGTGCCAAAAAGGAGGGCAAACATATCTGATGAGAGCAAGTGGCCATGCATTTTACCTAGTGGAAATAGGTCAAAATGCTTTTTATTTTCAGTACTTTCACACTTTTAAAAAGAAAACACTTTTACCTCCTGCATCAAATGCCAAAAGTACAGGGAGAACGCTAGTAAAAATGTACATGTAAAGAACTATGTAAGGCGTTTCTAATTCTACAACTTGGACATTAAGGTCTGCACTGAAACATATGCTTTGCTCAACTGATATTTAAGTTATAAACAACGTAAAGAGCGGAGACCTCTGCTTTTCTCTGCACACCACCACTGGCACTCGGGCATGGAAATCTGCATCAATATCAATAAAAGAATCTGCAGAGAAAGAAGTAAATATTAAGTAAGTTAATTAACCTTTGTTTAAAGAACAAAGACAAGTACCCATGATAAGTTATTTGGCCTTTTGAAAGACTACCACACTTTAAATCAGATCTCAAATGACTGGAATAGGGAGATAAAAATACAGTATTCAAGAATCAAGATAACAAATTCATTTAAAATTCTTTTGCAAAGCTGATGACTATATAATTAGACCAAAACATTGAAATGTAACATGGCTAAGAGGATTTGAAATATGAATAGGACATTTAAAAACAAAATTGTCTCAAATGCTACTAAAAAGTTCATGGTCAAATATCCACTGAGCAAAGTAAGAAGAAAAATTATGTTTTATTTAACCCAACCAAGAATAATGTGTTCTAGTCACCTAATCTGGTGTCAATTTAAGGATTAAGAGTGTAGGGGTGGAGTCTAGGCTGTCAATCTGGAGATAAGCAATGAGACTTCTGGGTGGGCATGGCCTTCTCTTGAGAATTCTTGGAAATGTGATACTTCCTCCTTGTAGATGGAAGACACCTTCGCTCTCTACCCTACTCCCTAGGAGACATTGCAGAAGACAAGCCACATGGATGCAACCAGACCTCTGAAGCAGGAGAAGCCACAGAGAGACCCCAGTCCGCCCAGAGATGCTTACAATGCCACTGGACCCAAAGACTTCCTACCCACTGGCTTGTGATTGTCCTGCATTTGGCTTCATTACACGTGTTTCTTGAGTCTGAATTGGACTTTATAGGTTGGTATCGGACATATGGGCTAATATCACATTATGGAATTGGACTGAATTGGGTTGGGATGTTTTCTCAATGTTCAATCCCTCTTGTATATAAAACTCTTTCTTATACACACGTGTGTTCATGGATTTGTTTCTCTAGTCTATCCAGACTAACAAAGAATGAAAACAAGATCTGGTGGCGCAGGGGTTAAGTACTCAGCTGCTAACCAAAAGATGAGTGGTTCAAACCCATCAGTTTGCTTCCCCTAAGATTACCAATAAAAAAAAGCCAAACTCACTGCCATTGAATCCATTCCTTGCAGGGCAGGGTAGAACTGCCCATCACACCACCCCCACCCACTCCCATGGGTTTCTGAGATTGTAACTCTGGAAAGGGAAAAGCTCATCTTTCTCCCAAGGAACAGCTGATGAAGGTTTCGAACTGCTGACTTGGCAGTGAGCAGCCCAGAGCGTAACCTCTATGCCACCAGGGCTCCTATAAAGATTACAGCTTAAGAAACCCTATGGGGCAGCAGATTTCCTCTGTTCTACATGATTGGAATTGATTTGAGAACAGGTTTCAGTTGTAACCATATGAAACCAGAAGGCTCCCAGCTGGCCAACTAACAAACCTAATTGGGCCCAACTATTTATTTCATCATTAATCAGGAGGGGCCATATATAGCTACCTTTTGTAAAATATTAATTTGAAAAGTAAATTTACATTCTTGGTGGTGTAGTAGTTACTTACATGTTGGGCTGATAATGGCAACGTCAGTAGTTCAAAACCACCAGGCAACTCCATGGAAGTTTTACCCTGTCTTATAAGGTTGCACTGGAATCGACTCGAAGGCAAGAAGCTTGGTTTTTAGTTTTAGTCTTGGTCTCATTCATTTAATCTTTTAAAATATTATTAAGCTAAAAACCTTCCAAGAAATAGCTAAAATGATGATGGCAACATATGTACAAATGTGCTTGATCCAATTGATGTATGGATTATTACAAGAGCTATGAGTCTCCAATAAAATGATTTATTAAAAAAAAAAGAAATGGCTAGTCTGTATAATATATCTACTAAGAAGACAAATCACCTTACTAATGATTCATGGCCATTTGCTTCAGGTATCATTTCCATAAGTACTTAAAAACACCACTATTCCCATTTTCAAAGTTTGAGAAATAAGATATACTGAAGTTATAGACAAAAGAAATATTCTAAGGGTAAAAAACAGATTTAGCCTTACCACTATTCTTTAAACATTCTTGAACAAGTAAGAGGACATCTGGTTGAGACATCTAGGAAAGAAATCAATTAAAATGTCAAGTACACTGTAAGTAATTTAGCTTCACTGACATACTGCATGGGTATCTCAAGTTTCCCAAATTGTTTTGCATATCAAAAGAGCCCCCTGCTACCAGAGTAAAGAACTAATCAAGGTGCTGTGCATGTAAATGGCACTAATACAGATAGAGGAGTCCCAAACAAGGATTGAGTGTGGGCAGAAGATATACACTATTCTGACTGATGAATACCTGAGGTGATCAGCATATTAGCTTATCTCAAAGCTGTAGCAGTAAGTTACCAAATTGCTAACATTAACACCTTTAACTAAACTACTTGCACAGGTTATATACTGATGTCTTTATTCTTGCCTTTCTGTAGTCATTGCTCCACATACAAATCTAAATCATCTAAAAGGATGGGTATGCCCCCCCTGAAACCTGCCACTGACTAATGACAGGACTTGGGTCAAAACCCAAATCCTTACAAGACCTTGCAAGTTGGGCCCCACCCACTTCTCCATTTGAATCACATGCTTTCTTTTCTTTGGGCTCTTTACACTTTTCTACCTTTCCTTCTACTCCACAAGTAGTCAAGATTCTTGGTGATTCAAGGTGTCTGTAAATGCTGCACCCTCTGCCTCAAATACTCTTTTGCTGTCCTGCTCGCCCCAGGGCTGGCTCCTTTATATCTTTTAGAGCTCAGTCTAAATGTTACTTTCATAAAGCGGCTTTCATAATTGATCTCCCTGTCATTGTCACTGGTTATTTTTTAATAAGCTTGTGCTTTGCACAGCACTCATGATAGCATGGAGCTTCAAAAGAGCTACTGGAAAAATTCCATTACCTTTTATTTCCATTTTTCCATAAACCTGTTGATGTCCCCTTTTAATTAAGTGTATGTTTATTATGTATGTTTAGCAGCTTATCCAGATGAGGTCCAGGGCAAAATCCTATCTGTTTTGTTCTACAGGATCTGGTATTGTGCCTGGCATGTAAAAGAAACTCAGCAAATTTTTGCTAAATAAGTGAATGAGGCCTGGTAAAAACAATTTCTATGCTTGGTAATAATAAAAAGAGATTATGAAACAGTGTATCTGGGGTGGGAAAGTCAATAATCTGTATTTTTAATAGGCAACCAAAATAAATGAACACCGACCATTTATAAAGGATAAATGGATAAATAGAGGTGATCTACTAACGTTCTGGCCAGTTTTACAACCTGACTCATTGCCATCACACCTGTGGCTAGGCATGGTTCTTTGAAAATATAATTATTTTTTGAGCAAAGGAGATAGGTCAAAGAAGAAACAAAGGAGCAAAGTGAGCTCTTGGTAATAAATGTTTTGTTACTTACAGTGTTTAAAATCAAATACTTTCCTGACACTGGAAATTTCATTTTATCAAGAGACCTTATTATTTTCAAGTTACTAGAACTCAATAGTCTGAATTATGTATAAAAGTAGCTCAAGCCATAAAACTGTTAAAAATGCCTCGAAACCAGTGTTTGAAGTTATATATAAAAGTAACTCAATCCATACAACTGTTAAAAATCCCTCAAAACTAGAAACAGCAAAGGCAGAAAGATGGAATTTTGGAGAAAGAAAACTGCTACCATTCAACTTAAAAGATCTTAATTACCATATTTACTCGAATTTAAGCCAACTCAAATATCAGCAGAGGCACCTAATTTTACCACAAAAACTGCATTAAAAATGTGCTGAAAAACTCAGCTTATACCCTAGCATATATGGTATCTAAAATATGCCGCTCAGTTGTGAAAGAGAACATTTTCCATACCAGTCTATGAAAATTCAGAAATTTCACATTCTACTCACAATAGCTGGAAATTGGACGTCAATGTTTACATCTGAATCTTTAAAACCAAATCGGCTACAGGATGACCCATATAATCTTAGAGAACAATCTACAAAAAGTAAATAAATAAAAATAAGCCATTCAAGTAACATTTTCAAAAGTAGTAATTAACCATTGTTACTTCACAAAACTATACATTAAAGAAAAACTGTATTCAAGTCTGGAAGACTGGAATGGACAGCTCACCCACTCACCTTCATTTTATTTAACAGGGAAGATTGTGTTGATTACAGTCTAGCTAATAGACAATCATTTCATGTCAGTTTCCAAACATTTTAAAGTTCCTATTTTCTCAAGATCACACTTTATGATAAAAATAATACTTCAAGAACTGAGAAGCAACAAAGCCCACATGGAAGAAACACACCAGCCTGTGTGATCATGAGGTGTTGACAGGATCAGGTATCAGGCATCAAAGACCCAGAACAAAAAATCATGTCAATGTGAATGGTGGGGGAGTGAGGAGTGAAGGCCCAAAGCCAATTTGTAGGCAACTGGACATCCCCTTATAGAAGAGTTGTGGGGAGAAGACAGGCCAGTCAGAGCGCAGGATAGCACTGATGAAACATATACCTTTCCTCTGGTTCTTTAATGCTTCCTCAGCCCACTATCATGGCGCTAATTCGACCTTACAAACCTGGCCAGACCAGAGCATGTACATGGGTACACATAAGAGCTGGAAACACAGGGAATACAAGACAAATAAATTCGTTGGGACCAATATTGAGAGTAGCCATACCAGGAGGGAAAGCAGAAGGTGGGGGGAGAAAGGGGAAACTGATCACAATGGACAATATATAAGAGGGTAAAGGGAGACATTGGACAGTGCAAGACATGGAAAAATTAATAGTAATTTATAAATTATCAAAGGTTCATGAGGGAGGGAGAAAAAAAGAGGAGCTGATACTAAGGGCTCAAGTAGTAAGAAAATGTTTTGAAAATGATGATGGCAGCAAATGTACAAACGTGCTTGACACAAGGGATGTGGATTGCGATAAAAGTTGTAAGAGTCCCCAGTAAAATGATTTAAACAAAAACAAAAAAACTTTATTTTTTATATCTGAGGAGGCTTTAAAATGTTCATGGAAACATTTAACTTAAGATAATGGAATTTGCCCATGAACTTTCTGAAGTATATATATATGAAACTGATGTACACATTTCTTTTCACCTTTTTGAAAACATAAAAACACATATTTTAATATAAAGAATGTGTTTCAGTAAAATGGTAAACATAAAAACCATCTTTAGTATTCATATTCCAATATGAATAACTTAATTATTTTAGGAAAGCTTTTAAGAATAATTAAAATATCACTGATATAATTTAAGTTATGGCCAGATTTTCAAGCTTCAGAGGAAGGCACTTATTTATATATATTAAGTACCTACATTTATATATGTTTATGTTCTTTATTTGTAAGTGGAATTATTTTAAGTATTATATTGTGCCAAAAAATGTATCACTTCACATCAGAGGTTTTTTAAAAAGTGATTCAAAGTGTTTTTTTGAGATTCAACAGATTTCTAAACAAAGACCATCACATTTACAATGGAAAAATATATAGCAAAAATCATTTAAATCATGGACTTCTGGGAAATGGCGACTGAGTAACACATACGAGGGGGACTCCACAGAAATCAGCCCAGCAGAGTTACCAAGAGGGAAATTTAATACTGCTGGATCGCAGGAGGAGCATCATAAAAATAAATAGGCACAGATTCACAAGGTTTTGAGGGGTTGGGGACTTTTGGCTTACCACAGTGGAGGCCATCTAGGCCAGAGCCGGAACCATTTGGAACTGGTACAAGGGATTAATCTCAACACAGCCACAGCTTGCCTCCACCTCGGGGCAGGGTTTAAATACTTGCAGCCCCATGGGCAGGTATCTGGGCTTAGCTGTTTTGTTACTTTTGTTTCCCTCTCTTCTATCTTCCCCCCACCCCCCAACCCCCAGTCTCAGCTGGCTTCGTTTTTCATTTTTCCCTGTTTGTCTCTTTCCTGTTCTCTCCCACTCCACTGCCAACCTCCAGACCACTCCCCTTAGCCTAGGGCATTTACGCCTGCCCTCCACCCAGTTAGATGAGCTCCACCCTGTGCAGCATAGCCTGAGGCTGGGGAAAACTGGCCAATCTCCACCAGGGGATACTTTGCCCAACTTCTTACAGGGGAATTCCTGCCCGCGTGGTTGGGAGAGCTCCTGTTTTTCCTCTGTTGTCCCATGTGATGGAGGGAACTTCCTCCTGCCTACCTTAGTGGCTCACACAACTTAGGGCAGCTCAGCCAACACTCACCCAGGAACCTCTGCCCAACCTCCGCAGTGATCTCCCAGGCCAAGGCAATTCTGCACACCATTTGCAGTGTTCTACACCAAAGCAGGCAACCCACCAGCCTTCTGGGGCACTCCCTTGAGAGGGAAGCCACAGAAAGATAAAGTGGTAGGCTAATTCTATAGAGAAATTAGTTGTAGGCAGTTCAAAGAAGCATTCCTACAAGTCTCCCAGAGTGAGCCAGTGATGTCAACTCCTGGAAAATGGCACCTGGCTAAACCAACAATGCAAACAGCCATCAGCCCCAACGACCTCGACGAAAAAAACAGGAGAAACAAAAGGCAATGGCAGAAGATGTCCTGAACCTAATGACATGCATAGAAGAAGCAGGCATTGAACTGCCACAAAAAGAAATTTTCAGAATGCTGTTTGGAGTCACACAGGATATGAGGGAAACAATACAGAAAAAGGATGAAATGATAGAGGAGATAAAGTCCATACACCAAAAGGAAATAAAAGAGCTTAGGAATGAGATAAGAAAAACCAGTAGCAGACTCACGGACCTAGAGAATCAACTGAAAGGAGCAGAGAACCACACCAGTGACTTGGAGGACAGCCAAGCACACTTTAACAAATGCGAACAAATATCCAATGAGATCGTCAGAGAAGCTGAAGAAAACCTAAGAGCTATGTCTGATGCTATGAAGAGGCAAACCTAACCAAAGAAAGGAGGGAACAAATTTCAATAGTAAGAATGAGGGATGAAAGGGGATATTACAACAGACCCTAATGAAATCAAAAGGACAATTACACAGTACTACAAAGGATTGTATTCCAATGAATTTAACCACTTGGAAGACATGAAAAAATTCTTGGAAAAACAATCCCTCCCTAGACTATCCCCAAAGGATGTCCAGAATCTCAACAGACCCATAGCACTATAAGAAATAGACAAGGTTATCAAGGGATTACCAACACAAAAGTCCCCAGGACCAGATGGCCTCACTGGAGAATTCTACCAAGCATTTAGGGAAGAACTAACACCAATCCTACACAAACTCTTCCAGAACACAGAAAAAGATGACAAACCACGGAACTCCTTCTATGACGCTGGTATAACTCCAAAACTGGGCAAGGTTCTCACAAGAAGAGAACTATAGACCAATATCCCTAATGAACATCAATGCAAAAATCCTTAAAAAATATTGGCCAATAGAATAAAAACTTATATAAAAGAAATAATTCACCATGACCAAATGGGATTCATACCAGGGATGCGGGGCTGGTTCACCATATGAAAGACCATTAGTATCATTCGCCACATTGACATGAAAAACTGTAAGAACCACATGATAATATCAATAGATGCAGAAAAAGCATTCGACAACATCCAACACCAATTTCTGTTTAAGACACTTGAGAAGATAGGAATGGAAGGAAAATTTCTCAAAATACAAGCTATATATGGAAAAACTAACAGCCAACGTGGTAGTCGATGGAGAAAACCCAACATAATCCCACTGAAAAAGGGGACCAGACAAGGATGCCCCT